TCTTTCCCTGTAGGTACAAGGGAAGAAACAGTTAAAAGCCCGCCTTAGCTGTTATAGCTGACGCTGCTCCTGCTAAACATAATAAAATACTGTTTCTAGAACGAGATACTGTTTATAGATGAGAACAAAGTTCATATTTACTTAAATAGGTGGAAACTGCAGATGAACATTGGGAGCCATAAACCACATAGCATTGATAACAAATGTTTGATGCATATCAGAAACAGAAGGAAAGGTCCACAAGTTGGGTTCTTTCCCATTTTAAAAACAAGTGAAAGAACATGGTAACTCTCTGAAATATGGTATCTCCAGGAAAGTCAATACATTAGCAAAAGCAGTCTGGTCAAAAATGGAGGTAATGTCAAATCTTAGGACTTTACTAGAACGCACACTTCACAAAGCAACATACCAAAATTTCCATACATAACACATGAAAGTTAATAAAGGTCCCCATTAACTATAGTTTCAGAGAACATACTTAGCTTTCAAATCAAACCTGCACAACTCAGAATTTTCTGAGATGACCAGTATTTTATTCCACTACGAAAGATACTTCCAGAATAAAATATAACTCTCAGAAGTGCTTCTGCATAAATTTATTCTTGTGCAAGTGATGCCCTCGAAGGGGAGCACCACCCACCTACAACTCCTGTTAGCAGCAAGCAGACAGAGGCCTGCACAGCATATCAGATCAGTGGAGCGGCAGGGGCATTGCTCATTTGTGAGATTTGCCAGATATAGGTTGCAGATTAATTACTGGAGGTAATCTACAGTTCAGTCATGCTTATGTAGTTAACCTTTTCCTTCCAAAACACACCACTTTGGGTTCATAGATGAAGTTAACCAATTCTCACATTGCTCCTGCCAAAACCTTTACATTGTACCTGCAAGTCTTTTCAACAATAGATGATGCTACATAATGCCGTACTTCATGAAGCTTCCCACCAGCATCCCGCTCACCCCTTTTCTCCCATTCTTTGCTTGACAAACTCGAGCTATGTTCTTGTGAGGCTCAGAATTGATTGTTTATTCCTCCTCTCAGTTTTCTGTCCCTTGGCAAGTTTTTTCATACTAGAACTGCATGTTCTTCACAGCACGCCACTCAATATCCATTTCTGAATGACTGTCAAAATATTTGCTTTGACAGTCCAAATTCAACACATACACCAGGGCTTTAACTCCTTCTATATTAACTCATTCAAAAAAAAATTCTCACTACGAAAGCAGCCTTCTTTTCTTAGGCTCACCCCTCAGATTATTTAGGCCTCTCCCCATATTACTATTGTTACTATTGCACGCAGCTGGGCAGGGCCTGAAGGAAGCCCTCTATGTTGAGTAATGGGGTGCACCAGCAGAAGCAGCAGCCCCCCGGGCCAAGCCAGGCCACAGTTTGGCGGTGCAAAGTCCCCCATGGTGCAGGCTGCCTGGGCACTTCCCAGCCTCCCCCCTCCTGGCCCACCCCACCACACAATCCAGCATAGCTCCATGACACAACGTAAGCCACACCAATGAAGTCATCCAAGTTACTCTTCTTTTGGAAGAGATAGAAGGTATTTTTTTTAAATAAGGTCATTTCAGCAAACCAGTTTACAGTATTGCCCCCAAGAAATAAACTGTGGCAGCAGCAAACTCTGATGCTGCAGCAGGAGCAAGCGACAAAAGGACCCTCAACCTGTTCTCATTGCCAAAGCCAAAATACCACAGCCCGACACCTTCAGCCTCGTTCACGCTCGTCCCTCAACTATATTTGCAATGCAGTTCTGCCTCAAGTGAACTCTATTATAGCTAAAAAATGTCAGTGAGTACATAGGATCCTCACAGCATTCAGAGAAGATAAAACTGAGTTCTTGAAAGCAAGGACTAACAATCTTTTGGTCATTTTAATCTAACAAAACAAACTATCTTAAAATATCTCTAAAACTGCCTTCCTCTTTAGACACAATTTTGACAGCCAGATAGTCTGCCTCAGTTATATTACACATTTCTAGCTAAGAATATCCAATTGTTGCCTTTTAGTGAGAAAACTCTACTCCTCTTTTACTACATAACATTGCTACATGTTACGTAAATAAGAAAGATCTGTTTTTCTGAATTAGATGAAGAAACACACTTGCCTCCATTTTGCTTACACTGCCGAAATTAAAAAGTTAGAAGCTGATCCAAATTATAATACTTGATATAAGGACTGATTTTAAAGTTTAGAGATGTTAAGCTACAGAGTTTTGCTTTGGCATATCACACAAAGAGGAAGGAACAGCTGCAAAGTTCAACTCTGAGTCAATCACATACCACTGCTGTTTATTTTAAGAAGGTGTCCTACAAGCAAAGTACAAGAGACCTGCAAGTACCTTGCAGAACTATATTATGGCCAGTTCTTTATATATCCCCATATGGTTTTGACTGGAGACAGAGGGTTCATACCAAACCTTGGAAATCAGCTTTCCCCCTTCCCAGCCTGGTTCTGTCAGCTCAAGAGTGAGAATAAATCATCTTCAGATAAGTGCCTTTTGGCTTGGCTTAAACAAACAGCTGAATGGAAGGCCACACAGACTGCTGAAACAGTCCCAATTTGTAAAATAAATGCAGGCACGATTAGACCTTTTCTTCTAAAGTTTGCTACAGTCCAAAACACAGCTATGCAGAGGAGTTTCTAAACTTTGTTTACAAAACACAGGCTTGAGCATCTTATAACCCAAAATGCGCAAAACTTGCAAGCCTAGGTCCTGCTTTCCCTG